TTTTCCAAATAGCCATGTGGATGTCCTTTGCTAAGTCATTTGAACACTTAGAGCCTCTGCCTCCCTGACTTTCGGAACGAGGTGTTGGGAGTGAAGTCTCCACCAGCTGTACAACTCTCCAATTCTCTAAGTAACAGTTCATTGCTTTGCTGGCTAGACGGCCTCAGCAATCAGAATGAACCAATTAACATGGCAGCTGCAATACTCTCTTCGTGGTTTCAAAGCTAGACTTTTTTTTTTTTTCTTTTCACAGTGGAAGGAGGGAAGATCGTGAAACCCACTCACTCTGCTTTGGAAAACAGTAGAAGGATCTGAGGTCCACAGATGTCAGATCACTGTTAAATTACAAGCTCATTAGATGGAAGTAACATGAAGGCTGCCTGGCCAGTCCTGCTTGCAGCCCAGTGGGCAGCTGACTGGCTTCAGGCCGTTCTCTCCCTAGAAGCTGCTTCCACTCCCGAATAAACCACGATGTGGCTTTTATGTGTCTCATTAAACACAGCCTACATCACAGCTGTGCTTTATAGGCCGAGGGGTTATTAGTTTTCCAGGCACCTAATCCAGGAGACATTTGGAAAGTGACCTAAAGGTCTTCGGGAAAATGTGCCCAGGATAAAGTACTTTCAAGAGTCCTGGGAGAGTTGTTTCCAAAAAGCCAATGTCTCCACACCTACCACCTGCTTCCTATTTTATCGAACGAGTATTTTGTAGGGAGGAAGAGCCTGGAGAACCCACCTTTGCCCCAACCACTTTACAGTCCAGCCTCCAGCCTCATTTGCACAAGTGCTTTGTCGGTCTGGCTTCAGGCCGCTGTGAGAGCAAACCACCTCTAGCATAGACACCCAGGCCCGGCGGGTAGGTTGACAAGCCACTTGGCAGAGCCGTCCTGGGTAACGCAGAGACACCACACCTCTTGCTGGCTGTTACAAAGCAAACACTGCCGCACCCCTGCCCCAGGTATGGAATCTTTGCACGGACTGTCCTGCAAAACATTTAGGGACAATCTGAGAATTCCTTCGAGGGAACAACGGTGGATGCCATTTGTTGTCGACACCCAGAGCGCTGCCATTTGTCTCATCCGAGACAACCTGTTACAGCGCTTCGGCCGATGGCCAGACACAAAACCTTGTGTGAGGCTGGATCCAAAGACTCGTTCAAAGCAGTCAGACACCGTGATAAGTGCAAGAAGCCACGCACAGGCGAGTTCTTGCCATATACTCCACCTATATAAAAGCAACCTGAAAAGTAGGCAGAGCCAGCCTACCCCGAGGACAGAGTCAGAGGCATTTGACATTCTTGGATGCTGGGTACTGATAAGAAAAGGATGCAGGGACCCCTTATGGAGCTCGGTGTTCTATTCCTTCATCTTGGTAGTTGTTCCACGGGTGAAAAAAAAATACCGAAAATCTGTCAAGTTCTGGAAGTCAGATATGTCTTCATTTTTACCAGTTACTCCTCAAGAAAAGTTCAAGATTTATTTTCATTTGTAATTACCCACGAATGCAGGTGCCAGAGGCCAGAGGAGCACACTGTGCCTCCTGGAGCAGCAGTTACAGGTGAGCTATCTCATATGGATGCTGAGAATCAGACTCAGGCCCTTCGCAAAAACAGTACATTCTCTTAACCAGGGAGTTCTCTCTCCAGCCCCAGCAAGACTAAATTTAAAATGTTACTTGGGGAATCCCCCAACATGAGAGCAGGTGCTGCCTATGAATAACATTGTCAGCAGTAACAATCGTTGACTGAATGCTCACATGTGCAAGGAAAACAATGCATACATGATCACCTTGAAGCGCACAGTCTCCAGAAAGCAATATCATCAACGTTTCCACTCCAATGAAGACAAACCGAGAGTCAGAGAAGTAACTTGTCCAAAGCCACATACAGAAAATGGCCAAATTAGCATTCAAATGTGAACCTAAAGCAGCCCGACCTCAGAGCTTTCCTCCTTAATTGATTTTAAAGTTTGTTCTTATAGCCGCAAGACAGAGGTTTGCGTTTGCCCATTGTGAGGCTGGTCATGTTAGATGACGCCATCTTTTCTGACATCCCAGAGAGTAGGACATCACAGGGAAACCTGAATGTTCAGAACTAAGGGGAGAGAGAATGGGTGCCAAGGCGGGCTAACAGTGACCAGGATTAAACCTTGACACGCATTTGGAAGATACAGCCAGTTTGTGAGCGCCTGCTCTTTTCCCCTTTAGTGGAGGAGCACGGGTGCCATTATTGGCTCGTTGCTTTGGGTCTTGCCCCTTTCCCTTTAAGAAATGCAGTGTGAGGTAACACAAAATGGTTTTACGTGCTATTCACTGGGCTTCCTGGAACAAAGTGTCCCGAAGTAAAAATCTCCACTTTTAGGATCTGCTTTAGAACATTTGAAAAAATTAACAGGGACTAGTTCCCCTTACCCACCCTTTTTATATAGTTGCTTTACTACATGTAATACATTTGTGGAACCTGGAGAAGGCATTAGATACTTTAATTATAAAATATATAGCTACTTACTCCAGACACTCTGTTTTATTCTTTACTGTTCCTCACTTGGTTTTTCCAAAGTTCTCATTTGAAAAACTGTTGGAGCATTGATTTCTGGCTTAGAGAGAGCTATAAGCTACAGATCTTCTGAAGACCCATAGGATAGAAAGGCAGAACACAGCTTAATGCCATTTGCATCTTTATTGTGAACCAGCCCCAAATGGCTGGGCTAATGATGTGAACCTACAAGCAACTTGGCTCAGCCCAGCTCCCATGGATGAGTTGTTTTGGGGAACTTGGGAGAAGTGATTGAATGTTGAACTTTTCAGTTAAAAAAAAATTAATCTTGTCTCATCACACCCCTGTGATCTGTGAAGCCATGTGGGAACAGGGCATCCTCTGGGTCACAGTCCTGCCCCTCACTGCCCACCCAGATGGAGAACTAAGCATACCAAGGGTAGGTGATTCAGTAAAAGCCCCGAGGATTGGGAGAAATAGAGTCCCGGGCAACAGGCTCCCCCAGCTGCTCCCCTGCCCCATGCTTTCATCTGCACCCAGACTTTCAGACTGGGGGAGCCTTGAGTCCTCATTCTCACCCACAGCCCAGGCCAGATCCAGCCACCCCAGAGCTGCTCCCTGTGCTTGCATCTCACACACACCATGTCAACTGATTAAGTCCCTCAGAGCTGCTCCTCCTGAGATCTGTCTTCCTAGGTCCGCCTACACTGACCTCATGGTGTTGGCCTTCGACCACGAAGCTAAAGACAAGGCAGCTGGTCCCAGAACCTGGCCCTCCCCTCTATGCCACCATGTGCCATGATGTCAGAAACTGGCCTTCCCTCTGTAGCCCACCATGTGCCATGATGCTATGATTGTGCCCACATCTACTTTGGGGCCTCTAGGTGGCAAAGTGGGTTTAAATCTCCACTTTCTGTTTTCTACCAATGCCCCTGGAATTCAGGTATTCAGCTAGAACTCTGCTTTTGGCAGAGCTAGCATTCTAGGTCACAATTTGAGGTTATCTGAAAAACCTGTCTAATCTTAAATGTGAACATAGTGAATTTAGATTGAAAGGGAATCATAATCTAAAAGGACCGATTCCTCATCACAGTTTAACTCTCTAGTTAGCCTTCATGAAGTGAGTTACACACACACACACACACACACACACACACACACACACACACACACTGCATACATGGTCTGCTTCAGCCTAAGCAATGGGCTTAGTAAATTAAGATGCTGATGCTCCTACAAGAAGTTGTAGAGAGCACAACGGTCCATGAGCTCACAGATGAGCACCAGGGAAACCAAGAGTGTTAAACATGCCGGGCTGTCTCTTCAGTGGAAAGATGTATAACCCGTTTTCCCACCCAGAAGACTAGGAAGGGAGGTGGTTAGTAGCCTGGTAACAAGCACCATCTGTAGAGCCAGTCCATGCCAAGCTCCCACAGGCAGGACCAGAAGTGGCTACTAGTTTAGGTGATCTTTGCATTATCTGTATAGTCAGTCTCCCAACCTCCCACAACCAGGACCAGAGGTGGCTAACAGCCAGATGAGCTCTGTGCTATGTCTGACTGAGACCACGCCAGATCCTCCCCCAGGCCCTTGAGATAGCACGTGTCGTCTCTAGGACCCATCTTCATGAAGGTGATGTGTACTTTAAGGAGCATTTCAATGTAATCATGCCTCCTTGTGCGCAAAGGATCACCAGGAAACTTCTTGCCCCGAATATTCTTACAATAAACTACCCAATGTCAGACTCTAGAAGTTTAAGCCAACATGAGTTTGAGTTGTGTTGAACCAGATTTCCTTCTTGCTTCATGTGGCTCACTACCCTGCTGGCTCTGATGCTTGCAGAGACCCACCCCGATCCCCCACCTCATAAGAAGTGAACTGGAAGCTAAGAGGACAAAGAGGCAAGATCTACACAGTCAGCATCTTCGGATAATTCCCTCTGGGAAAATAAATAGAGTGATAGCGAAAACGTCATCTCTCGTGAGAGAAACAAGAGTCATTCTTGAGCCAGTGTTCCAGGAAGAGCTGAGCTGTACACAGGACAGGAAGCCGCTGCAGCCAGCGGCCTCAGGTTCCTGCAGGATGTCAAGGATCTGTTCCCAGAGGCACTGTAGATGCTGTGTGTGCGCATACACAGGCGTACGCGTGTCTGTGTGTATCTGCGTGCGCACCTGTGCTTGTGTGAAGACCAGAAGAAACTGGTTGTCCTCCTGTAGCACTTTCTATTTTATTCCCTTGAGACAGTCTCTAACGGAACCCGGAGCTCCACGTTTACCTTCTAGGCTGACAGCCAAGGGGCCTCATTGATCGGATGGTCCTGCACTGAGCTTCCAGGCACAAGGAGCCACACGTGGCTATTTGTGTGGGTGCTGCTGGCCCAAACTCAAGCTCTTCTGCTTGCACAACAAGCAAGCGCTCCTACGAACTAGGCCTCTCCCCAGCCCCTTACCAACATGGTAAGGTAGGAAAGGCAAAGCTCAAGGTGAGGCTTTTTTCGGTTGTCTTACCTGGTCATCGTAGCGATAGGTGAGAAACTGTTCCCCTGTGGTGTCTTCAAGGAAGCTTCCCTGAGGAGAAAGTGCAAACTCAGGAAGGAAGTAGGCTCCAGGAGACTTCTCTGCTGTGGCCTGAAAGGCAAGGTCACTTGGTCAAAATAAGACACCAGCAAGGACCCTCTAGGAGGCAGAATCCAAAAGATCCCACCACAACCACTCTCCCACCAAGAAGAGAAAATCGGCCTCTGAGCAAGGAGCAAGGTGAGGCACAATCAGACCTTGGTGCCTGACACTTTAGACCAGGATATCCCAAACTAGCACCCATGCCCCTTACTCTCTCCTCCTCTGCGCTGCAATGGAGGCACATAACAATTACTCGCTCAAATCCATTGCTATAATAGAATCTCTTTAAAAGAGATCTGTCTTACTCTTATTTATATGCACGTCTCCTGTCTGTCTGTGTGAACACGTACCGCTCATATGTGGGTGCCCAGGGCCTGTCTGTCTGTGTGAATGTATACCACACATATGTAGCCACTCCAGAACCTGTCTGTCTGTATGAGCATATGCCACTTGCATGTCAGTGACTCAGCAGGCCAAAAGGGGGTGTCATATACCCTGGAGAGGGGGTAACAGGCAGTTGTCAGCTCTGTTACTGACGTGAAGCTGAGAGTTGGACTTGGGTCCCTAGAAGAACAGTAAGTGATCTTAACTGCCACTCTCTCTCTCCAACCCCCTAGAACTAACTTTCTTTCTTTCTCTCTCTTTCTTTCTTTTTCCTTTCTTCCTTCCTTCCTTTCTTTCCTTCTTTCTTTCTCTTCTTTCTTCTTTCTTGCCTTCCTTTGTTCAATCTTTCCCTTTTTTATTTGTTCAATCTTTCCCTTTTTTATGTGAAAGATTGGGAGATTTTTTTTTCCCCACAACGCAAACAAAATGTATGGTCACTACAGAAACTTTAGAAAACGCAGACTGCTAGAAAAGACAACAGAAAGTCATCCACAACCCTGCAACCCATAATAACGATTTTTAATTATTTTACCATATTTCCTTTGAGGCTTCTTTTTCCTTTCTCACAGCACTCTGGTAAGTTTTCCTACAGACCCTTGCTTAAATAAACCTGCTTTACAGAAAGACTCCACTTGTGCCTCAGGAAAATCACATTTGCATGTAAATCAGTGGTCTGAAGCACCAGTGGCCGGGTCTTCAGGAGTCAAGACATCTATTGTGGAATATGCTTCACGTAAGATGAGCCTGGACTCACGCACGACCCTGAGAAGCTGAAAGGTGTGGAATGTGTTCCAGAATCCCTGCCTTGGCTCAGCCAAGGAGGGATCCAAGGCCAAGGAAGTGACATCCCCCTTGCTTAGTCTTCTCAGTCAACACACTTGGAACAACCACAAATAACACCCCTGATTGGAAGCACTCCCCATGCTTGGGGAGGAGCAACTATGAATCAGAAGAGGAGATCAAAGGAACAACTCCAAGGAAACTGCTTTCCGAAACAGGAAATAGTAGGGCAAAAAGCAAGCGCTCCTGACGCCTCTGTTGTCGCAGATGTAACCTCCAAATACTACAGCACAAGCTTTGGTCACAGTAGGACCAGAAATGAGAGATTGAGGCACCCAAGAGGTGGAAGCAGGAGGATCAGAAATTCAACAATATTCTTGGCTATATAGCTTGTCTAGATCAATCAACCAATCACCAATCACTCAATCGGCCAATCAATCAATCACATTTATTTGAATAATAAACTTGAAAAGAAAAATCAGCACACAATAGTCTCATCAAGACTCTACTAAGCTGGACAGCACCAGACAAAAAGAAGTGTGAGGTTTTTTTTTTTTTTTTTTTTTATAAATATCATTTTAAGTTAAGTTTAAATTGTTATTAGAGATTTAACACTCCTGTCCTAGTTTGCTTTCTACTGCTGTGATACAACATTCTGACCAAAATCAACTTGGGGAGGAAAGTATTTACTTAGCTTAAGCGTCCAAGTCAGGGTCCATCATGAAGGGAAGTCAGGACAGGAGCCTGGAGGCAGGAACGGAAGCAGAGGGTATAGCCACTTACTGGCTTGTTCCGAATGCCTTGCCCAGTTTACTTTCTTATACACCCCAGGAGCATTTCCCATATATGGCATCATTCACAGTGGGCTGTGCATTTACAAAATGGAATGCTACTCAGCAATTAAAAACAAGGAAATCATGAAATTTGCAGGCAAATGGTGAGATCTAGAAAAGATCATCCTTAGTCAGGTATCCCAGAAGCAGAAAGACACACATGGTATATACTCACTTATAAGTGGATACTAGACCTATAATATAGGATAAACATACTAAAATCTGTACACCTAAAGAAGCTAAACAAGGAGTACCCTGGGTAAGATGATCAGTACTCACTCAAAAAGACAAATGGAATGTACATTGGAAGAAGGAGAAAAGAGGAAACAGGATAGGATCCTACCACAGAGAGCCTCTGAAAGACTCTACCCAGCAGTGTATCAAAGCAGATGCTGAGATTCATAACCAAACTTTGGGCAGAGTGCAAGGAATCTTATGAAAGAAGGAAGAGATAGTAAGACCTGAGAGGACAGGAGCTTCACAAGGAGAGCATCAGAACCAAAATATCTGGGCATGTGGGCCTTTTCTGAGACTGATACTCCAACCAAGGACCATGCATGGAGATAACCTAGAACCCCTGCTCAGATGTTGCCCATAGCAGCTCAGTATCCAAGTGGGTACCCTAGTAAGGGGAACAGGGACTATCTCTGACATGAACTCAGTGGCTGGCTCTCTGATCACAGGCCACAGAAGAAAACAATGCAGCCAGTCCTGATGAGACTTGATAGGCTAGGGTCAGATGAAAGGGGCAAAACATCGAGAGACCCATTTCATTGACCTTCAATTCAATATATTAAAGACCTTTTAATGCCTGGTACACATCTCCATGATGTGAACACCATGAGAAACATGAATGTTAAGGTCCCTATTGTCATGGAGGTAACCTTTTTAGTGGAGAAGATACATTAAAAAATAAATAAATAGATAGATAGATAAATAAGTAAATAAATAAGCAAACAAGAAAAAATTACCCAGGGTAATATTACAGTAGGCAAAAGGGTGCTGGATTATTGGGGTTTGGTCTGATGCTGTGTATTCTAATGTTAATTACTCGCCCCCCCCCAAGATCTGGTTGCTGCACAGATGAGCATATTGTTAGTATACCTCCCTGTCTTTGTTGTGACTCTGCCCAGCTCCAATGCTTTAAACTTATAAAATAAACCATAGTTTCTCTGTGTCAATTATTTTGGAAGCTGCTGGAGTTAAAGAAAACCGCTGCTTTAGTAATTAGCGTTTTACACTGGATTTTTAAAGACAAGGGCTAGCAAATCACTCCTAAAAAGATGGTATTTGTCGACTTCCTAAGGCAGAGAGAGGAGTAGCGTACAGAAAAAGCAAGGATATATATTTTGGCCGAATAAAGAGAAATCCTCAAAGGCCTCATCTGGAAAGGAAGTCAGTGGGCTTGAGGTACAGAGAGGAGAGCAGTGTGGCTGGACTTAGTGTGAACCAAAAGAAAACAGTCATGCAGTGGAGATGGAAGGAAGGAAGGAAGATGCAGGCCATCCAAGCCTCATAAGCTATCAGCAAAGGGACGGAGGCCCACAGGTGAATTCAGGCAAAATTTTTGTTTCCTTGGGCTGGAATCATTCTTTCAATGAGAAGGAGCAAGGCAGAAACCTGAGTAGAACCAAGCATGTATGCCAAAGAGGAAGGAAGCAGGGTGTGAGCAGCCCAAGATCTCCCCTTTCCCCTCCCTCCCCCTCATCACTTCTCTAGGGTTTGGCTTGAGAAGCCACCTGTAAAGGAACTCAGTGGTGGGTCATCCCGAGGCAGGAACATCTGTCGGGAAGATTAACACACAGGTGATGTTGCTTGAGTCATGGTTAGTCTGAAATGCCCATGTGGAGACCCTGAGACAGCTACAGCATATGCAAGGCTGGAAGTCAGAGCAAAGACTTAGAAATCTTTGCTTAAGTGTGCGCGCGCACGCACACGCGCGCGCACACACACACATACACACACACACAACACACACATACACCAGGAGAGAATTGTATCCATTCTTGCTATCATTGATTAAAATTTCACAAACACACACACACAGAGACAGAGAGCCACAAGCAGAAAGAAGGCCTCTCCCCATACAGAGCACTCAAAGACAAGACTGCTGGCCTGGAGCTGTCGGTAACTCAATAACTCCAACATTTGAAATTCAGTAGGAGGGAGGAAACGAGAGAGAGAGAGAGAGACAGAGAGAGATTTAAATTATTCAGCAACAAGAGTTGAAAAGAAGGAAAAAAAATACTGGATGGTGGAAGGATTAAGCATCAGAGTCTTCGTTATCACTAAGAGGAGACTTTAGGAAGACAAGACTGGAGAAGCACCCACCGAGTCTGGGACCAAGGAGATCTCTTGACAAGAGCAGTTACCGTGCAGTGCCAGGGGAAATTGCGCTGGGTTTAGGAAGTGGCCTGGACTAGAGGTAATGGATACCATGAAGAGAGACTTAGATGGGGCCCAGCGAGCAGAGCACGGTGCAACATGCAGAGTTCTTAAAGACCTGAGATTCGGGAGCATGCTTGCGCTTCCTGGACTAATCCAGTAATAAGAATGAAACAATAGATGTGAGGTGACCGCAGGAGCAAAGACCCCCAGGAAGTAACCACCCGTGCGGCTGGAGAGAGTGCTCACCGGTCAGGACTCTTGCTGAGCAGGCAAGGGTGCCCAAGTTTGGATTCCAACATCCACTTGAACTTGCAGCCACACACGCACACACACACACACACACACACACACACACACACGCACACATGCACATCCTTTAAAAAACATGTGTCTACCTCAAGAAGAATAAGAGATCATTTATTCTGAGCCAAGTTTCAATATAATCATAGACCAAGAATACACACATTGAGGCGTGTTCCAAATTTGTCGGTGGAAATATCAGCTGGATAGAGTACCGTGAAGTGGAGAATCTCTGCTCTATATCTCAAACGCTTGTTCTGACCCTCAGCTCTGGCATCCTCAGCTCTGGGGCCAGTGGAGGGTTTAGTAGTCAAAGAGATGTTAGGCAAGATGTGAGTGGACCACAGAATGACCAACAATAGTCAAGATAAT